TGTCCTAATGTTGTGATTATGGCGCCAGTTTCTTTCCGTACTTGTAATATTACCGGAACTACGTCATTCATGATGCTTTGCATGGGTTCTCCACCATCAATAGTGCATGTCGTTGCTTATGTGTTAATTAATTCTGATGTGTAAGGGTCTCTTTGTTCTTCCCACATATTATAAATTGCACGTACATATTTATAAAAATTGTAAATTATAAAGCACTGCGGAATTTGATGGCGCTATATAAATAACATAATAATAATAATAAATAAATTACTTGCTTAGTATGGAAAGTTATTAGATTTTTTTATAATGTGTATTCTTTTTTAGTGTCTATATTCTTAAACGTTGTTATGTGTCTTTTTATGCTGACCGTATTCCTACAGGATGTCGCATCCAAAAAAAAGCATTTTTGTGTAAAAATGTTTTAGATTTATTTTCTTTTATATGATTGTGTGTAAGTTTGGTGGCTAGGTTGGGTGCTCCCCTATATATGATAATGGGTCTTTCAGGTAACATTTGATAAAATATAGGGTCACCTTTACAAATTGGCCAAAAAACATTTAAAATCTTTTTCATCTCTTTATTATTGCAATTAAAATTACATATAAAAGGTATATCAGATTTAAGACTTTTTTTCTTGTGTTTTATATTCAAGGAGTGATGTTCTATCTTTTTCCTTTACTTCTTCTATCACTTTTAAAAGTTGAGTCTCTTCATATCCTTTCTCCAAAAATTGTGGTTTTAATCGGTTTGCTTGGATGTCATAGGTCCCTATATCTGTCTCTATATATCTATATCTATAAAGCCAAACATGTATAAGGTGCCCAGATAAAGTAATCCAACACCATGCCCATAGTGTCAAAGTTAGATTAGAGATAACTTGATGCATGTTTCGCTGCATAGAAATGTGCACCTTCAGAGTCCTCTTCTATGTCAAGTTCAAGTTATTGTTGCTCATATTTGTAATATATATGTTTATATAACTTTGCAGATAGCTCCAGGATGCCAAGTGCCCCTCATGACTAGGTTCATATCATAAAAGCAACCATTGGTTTTGGACAGAAATGTGATAAAACGGGGAACTTTAGTGATTGTGGCACGCTTGTGCAATATATGAACACATTTTGTACATAAATATGCTTTTAAAAACTATATAGATTCAGAAACTAGTTTGAAGCTAAGGGCTCTGTATCTTGTATGTAATTCTTTATTTTTGTAGTGCAGGGTGGTACAGACATATGAATAAATTACAGGATAACATTAGTATAAATGACAAAATTCTCAATTGAGGATGCTAATACCATGTCATGAGCGCTGCACTATTGTATAATAGTGAGTTTTCATGCTCAACAGTCATGGCTGAGTTTGGGACACTATATGAGTGTCAAAACTAGTCATAACACATACTGGTAGCTCAGATTAGTTATGTCACCCCAAGGACCCTCCACTCATGCAAGAGGTAACTAATACCCCACAGTGAATATAAACTTTAGGCTAGGAATAGGTAATAACAAAGATAAACAAATTAAAGAGTTATCATTTGAAACGGGGACATGATGGTGGCATAGGTGATAACTGGATCAAAAGACCAAGTCAACCCCTTCCATAGATATAGGACAGTCCTAAACTGGTCTAATCACATGTCTGGCTCGCGGAACCACTGCCGGCAAATCTGGCACCCATGTGTTGTGGCTGTTCATGCTTGGTCATGGCGGTGGTAGCACCTGCTGTGAGCCAGTTTTCTGGGCCTCTGCCCGCACAGGACTATGTGGGCTTTGGCCCTCCAGCGTGCGAGTCACTGCATTCACCTCCACAGGCTGCTATGTTTGCTGCCTTCTGTCACATGGCCATTTTGCAGCTTGAGTCGATACTTCGCACTTGGACCGGGACAATAATCTCTGAAGAAGTAGTTTGTTTCCCTCCCATCTGACCGGCATCCGCAGGCATCACTTCAATTTATCCCAGAAGTCTACAAATATTTGCTCAAGGTAAGTTCACACGCAGGTAAGTTTACACGAGGCAGCCACCACCATCTCTGAGTTGTAGGAGGGCCCCCAAGGTGAGGACAGGGATCACCCTCACGGATCCAAGTGGGGGGGACGAGACAAGTACCACGCGGTTTCAGAGATTCTGGTACCGTCCACAAGGCAGTATAGCGGGGCAGCGTCTGCCCACCCCACCACCTGAGTAGGCCTCAGTAACCACCGTGTCGAAGCACCCTCTAAGGGGCCAACATTCATGTGAAAAGTGATGCCTTGGCACCAGGAACCCTGTGCATGCAGAATCACTACTTCTAGGTTTAAAATGAGCACTTTTAACACTGTTTTAAAATGTTATTAATGGAATAGTGCAGGTGCAGATAGTGTATGCAACTGCTCAGTCTGGCCTCGTCACCCACTTTTTTTGTTTTTATTAGAGAATATCGATTTATTTAAAAATTGGATGAGGAAAGCAAAAAGAGTTATATCACAGAGATTATCATAAAATAAACGAAATAAATGAAATATCCTATGCAGCATAAACAAAGCTACAACTTGAGAAGGAAACACACAGCAGAAACGTATTTGCATATGGTAGATTTCCGGTATGAGACTGGTTACATCCACATGCAGCACTCCACAAAAGCGGAACCTATGTATAGCTGTGAATACATTTTTCATTAACTTTATTCATGTTATTAGATTATGCTGTGAGTTAGAGATATTTTACAGTCAATCACGTCACCCTGTATCCTCCACCAGAGTAGACTTTGTAACTCACACTTTCAGATGGGTCACATCATTTGTCCTCCAATCAAATTTGAAAGTATTTGAAAGTTTCTAACTGTGTGGCATGAGATATTAATTGTGTGGGCCTGTGTTTTGGCTGTATTAGGCTTCCAATAGGAAATTAAGCCAAGTGAGTCTTATATTGGTATCAAATTGGGTAGAGATTCTCGATTGTGTATATGTTAAAGTACATAGTCTGCAAAGAGGGACAGTTTATGGTGATGACCATGAATAGTGACTCTGTGTTTGTCTGAATTATGTCTAAAACTTTGCTAGAGCTTCTTACCAAAGGATGAAAAGAAGGGATGACATGGGACACCCCTTCCTCGTCCATGTATTCCTTTTTATACAATTTTAAGGGTCTGACACATTATATGTTTTTGTTATATGAGAGCTTCTCCTCAGTGTCCCCAGCCCCTAATTCTACAGAATTATCTCTTTCGCTGCAAGTTTTGTTTTAAATTTTTGACACAGTAAATGCAGAACCAAGGCTGTTAAGTACCCCCATAACCTCTTTCACAAGAAACCTTGAAAGTCTTTTAGAGTTTTTGACAAATTCTGGATTATATCGATAAATGGCTCTGATTTCTTTCCTGCAAGGTCTTCCCCCACCTAAAACATTTTCCTCTGTGGCCAGCCACTGACTCTTACCTGAACCATCTATCTGTCCATGTGTATTGTCATCATGGGAAATAATGCACCCTTTATACTTTATTTAATTCTGTATTTATGTTGTCATCGTTACTTTGGAAAAAAATAATTTTAGCCTCAGACGGCTCTCGACAAGTGGCAGGGATATGCTTCACATGGCGCAAAGGACCAATACGCCAATCTGGGCAGTTTTAAACAAAAGCAAAGTAAAAAAAAGATCCGCTACACACAAATTCCCAAAACAGAAGTTTATTCAGATCCCACCAGTAGGCTCTCTATGCGTCATGTGCCAGTGATATGTAGACTGTCAAACCTATTGGTTGTTTGTACCTTCCCCAAACTGATTTTCAAATATCATTTATCAACAGACATCCAAAATGTCAAGAAGGATTAAATACACGTGAAAAGAATGATCAAGTTAATCCTGAAATGGATAAGTTTGAATTAGATGTTCTTCTATATTTCTGTAATGCAGTACTTTGAGCAAACATATGTGACATACACAAGAAATACATTTTGCAGGTTATATATTGCACATTAACCATTACCATTTAAAATAAAACCCAAAAGTAAACATTTGTCAATAAGGCTCAACACATGGTCTTGTAAGATATTGCATCAATAATTAATTCCCCTATCACAATATTGATCTGAATATCTGTTAATTCTTAAACTCCATTAAAATACTCTAAAGAGATAACTAACTGAGAACCATCAATATCCACTCCAACACCAACCCTGGCATACATCACTTTCTTTATAGCTATACCCTAATAATAATAATAACTTCTCTCATGTGAAACCATTCCACGGTCAGATGTGGAATGGTTTGTCTTTCTGAGGTCTTATAGAATGTAATTTCCATTGTAATCAGACAGTATCTGTTTGTGCTAGACTGGAGTTGGATATTCCGTAGCAGGTGAATGTTTTCTCCATGTGGCACTTTAATTGAGATAGTGCTGTAATGGGGGGTATGATGCTGAGTTTGTTATTGTTGGTAGTGAGATAGGGAGGCTCTGTCTAGTAACACAGGAGAAAAATATTTGCTTGTGTAGTGGAATTCAAAACCTGAGATCGAAAGAGTTAGACAGGATTCAAATACATAGATAGGAGCGAGTTGAAACGATGGTGGTACTGACATGAGTGATGTTTGGGCACTGGCACTTTGAGAAATGTAAATATTGATCCTGAGATGAGATAATTGTGGTGAGATAATGGGAATGGTGCAAAAAGGCACTAAGATAGAGAATTGGTACAGACTAGAGAGATGCTGGAGTTAAGATAAGGGGATTGGGAAAAGTGCTAAAATGTTGCGGTGCATGGAGAAGGAGAATATGCAAGGTATACTAATTAGGGGGGTTATGTGAAATAATGTTGGGGATGACAAAGGAGCACTGAGACAAAGGGAAGTGGTGCTAACACAGAAGGATGGGAATGCATGTTGAGAGTAAAGGAGGGTACTGGAAAATGAGATAAACAGAGGTTGTTTTTTTTTTTGCTGAACCAGCAAATATATTGACAAGCAGAAGTCCATCCAGTACCCCATTAACATTTTATGATTATATCACTAGGTATTCTGTAAATCCTATAACAACTATCTTGTCTGTGTTCACAATTAAATGTTTATAAGAATAATCTATGGGATCTAAGACCATTTGACTGCTGTAAAGTAGAGGGGTAAGTAAGAAAAAAGTGTTGACAACACTGTTCGAAGTCCATCATTATTACACAAAGGCCCTATATGTTGAAATAAACAGCATTCCAGGCTTCTTTGGTCACAGAGAATCACAAAGGCATAATAAGTGGGTTACATTGTTGCAGTGTATTACATTTTATCACAATATCATTTTTTATGGAAATGTGAGGTTATTCTTAAAAATAGGTGTCAAACTGCTAGAACTGAAATCTTTCTTATATTTCAACCTTAAATAAGAAAGTATGAGTTTGTGAGTCACAATGAAATAATGTCAATTACCCTTAAAATATTTTGCTTTGATTATCTGATTCCACTATAAGATTACAAGAATGTAATTCAACAAGGGTATCTGATTTAAAAATATTAAATTAAAAGTAAACCATAAGCGGTAGAATGTTGAATAATAATTTTGCATCTGCTCAATTTATTCCTATTTTCAGTGATACTTTTCTGAATCACCATCATTTACTAAGGATAAATAAATGCTCAGATATAGTTGATGATCGATTTCTTCTTCGAGAATTTTCGCATGAACACAAGCCCATTTACTTGTGTCTTGATTTTTAGAACTGAAATATGTGAAGAATTATACAATTAATGTTACACTACAATGCATTCTTCCCACAGCCATTGGATTTTTTTCACATACAACATACCATCTTTTAAATTTCCTTTTAAGAAAAATCAAGTAAAAATAAAAGAATACAAGAAAAATTGATTTAGATCCCAGTGTAAGTTGAGACAATTAAAATACAATTCAGATTTAAATTTATAAATTCAGTTTCTCTTCTTCAAGTCACTCATGAAGGTCATTTTTTCGGTTATTGTGCCCATTATCAGATGCTAAAAATGAAAAAAAATAAAAATAAATAAATACCATGTTAAATCAAAATTGCTAAATATATATAGTGATAGGGTGTGTGATGAACTTGGGTAAAATTGTGTTGAGTCGATAGTTGTTATTTTTATTGCAAGCGTACCTTTAAAACTATATCAACTATGGCTAACGGGGAACTGTCATTTCTTTGGAATTCACACAGTTAAATAAAACATTGAAATCTATTTATTTATGAGTTGTTCCACTTTTTATTTTACATTTCTGTTAAAAGTGTAGCAAACGACATTATAATTCAGACACGGCAAAGCCATGAAACATATTACAAATGAAATGGAAAAATAGAAGTGTTGTACCATTCCTCCCATTCTCAGGATACAGAGATGTGGATTTTCATACCTTACAAAGACATATTTGTTAAATAGTGGGATAAGTAAGTATAATATTAAGAATCCAGGGAAGTAATAGTTCCCCTTTAAAAATAGTGTTAGGGGTATTTAATACCTTGGTCTAGTGTAAGATCGACCAAACAAAAAAGGATTGAATGCACTTCTACTTAAGGCAAAAACATTGCTGGTATAAGAAGACTATGGACAGAATACAATATGAATCTTGAAAGTTAAATAATGATGGTTACTAGTAAATTTTGATAACACAATTTTTTTTTCTACTTACCATCTTTTCCACTGGTATTGGGATAACATTTAACCCTAAAATTTAAAAAAATATCTTATCAGTATTTGTAAAGTAAAGCCACGGTTGTTAGTTTATCTATTTGATCTGTTGTATTCTTTAATTGTTCCTGTGTTTGTTATTTTTAACCTCGCCTACACTAGTCATGTTTTTGTTTTCAATTCGACAATTGTTATTGTTTTCTTTGGAAAAATATAGGGTAGATAAAGGAAAAAAGGGAAATGGGAAAAACATTAATCATACATCTCATTAACATCCACATGGACCACAGTACAGTTCAGATACAGCTATAATATAATACTTTACATTCATGCCATATGTGCTCGAATTGATGGCATGTCCCTGGTGGGAACATGATGTTGGACACAACCAACATCTCTTAAACCCCTATTGTATATCCTCAGTAGGCAAGTCATAACGTCCCATCGATTATGGGTTATATTGGGGCACTTCCTGTTATCGGTTGTAATTGTCAGGTTGGTTCTGTCAGCATTGGTGGTAGTTTAAAAGGGGGATGCAGATAGCCACTGGCTTATGCCAGTTTAATTTGTGTGTTTGTGGTACCTCTTTGTCTGTCTAAGGTGTTCGCGTCTATTATCAACCAGCTCTGAGAGAGTTGTGTAGTAGAGGGAATGCTACAGGCTTTCCTGGGCCTTTACCCTTCAGTTCCCATTCAACTTGCACCACATATTCTTTGTGGTTTACAAGTTCCCCATGCTAGTCTTGTACAACCCATCAATTGTGGCCTAGCCGAACAATAACTGCCTGTCTGTAATGTGTCCTGGTACACACGATGGGGAATAACTTTGTACAATGTGGGTAGCTCTCGTGTACAGCTTCCTGTCTTTCTTGGAATGTCTAGCATCTAGGTTTATATGTGTACCTTTAAGCTCTATACCAATCCCGCCAGCAGTGTGTGCTTGGCCTCCCTTCCAACTTCCCCATTCTGTTTGATCAGTAAGTAGTTCTCTCTTTGAGGGTCCCCTCTACAAAGAAACCTGTGCGCTGGGTCCCACAGTGATGGGTCGTGAGCTGTATTCATTTATTTGTTATTATAAATATAGAAATTATTTTTAAATATTTTTTTCCCCTATGTAAGTTTTTTGATAGTGAGGATTCAAACCTCTCCGAGCAAACCTTCTATAGAGTGTTATTACCCCCCTGGTCCATGATCATCTTGCATTCAGATTGCCTCCTCCTCCTTGCTTTTGTCTTTAAATGCCTTTCCCATATTTTCCAAGCCTCTACCATATGCTACACTAGTCACGATTTTAACTGTTCTGCTATATGTTTATGTTGAGCCATTACAATGGACTCTTTTTATTACTGATACTCATTTTCTTAATGAAACCACATAACATAAACTAGTTCTCTTGTACTTACTGGATATCGTTACCCTCTAGAAGTCGTTTGTAGGTTGCAATCTCCATCTCCAGATAGTTCTTCTGATCCATAAGGATTTTGTACTTGTGATTCGTGCGTTCCAGGTCAGATCTAACCTCTGATAGCTGAGATTCTATATTATCGATCATACTCTGTAACTGGCCAATCTGAGATCCATAGTTGGTTTGTGTCTCTTCTAGACTATGCTTTAGAGCTGATGTCTGTAAACAGTAAGTTTGGCAAAGATTAGGTTTACGTTTTAAAATTAATATAAGAACACTTCATGTTCAATTAGAAAAAGTAAACTAATTATTAGGAACATTACAGGTTATTACAGCACATGGAACTTTAACATCAGCAAGATCATTACACTTACCATACTCAGCTGACTCTGTAGCTCAATCTCCAAGGTTTGAATGGTACGTTTCAGCTCAATACCCTTGGTTAGTACTGATTGCATTTGTTCAGCCCCAGACTCAACCTGGTGAGCTAATTCTTCACTCTGGTACAACACACATCAGACATTTAGAACATATTTAGAGTTATATCTCATTATAAACCTTATTAATTCATGATACTTCTAGTATTAAGCTGTATGTAGTTAACTTGAGAAGATGTCAAATATTAAGATTTTGTTCATTTATCTATAGAGACATCTCACTACTTATTAAATTATGTTAAATAAAGCCATATGTGCATTACCATAGTATTATTATTATTATTAATTAAAGTATCAGACATTCTACAGCACTACTCAGTCATTTTAAGAAAATAAGGTAATCATAGACAAGTGATGAGCGTTCTGCTAATGTAAGCTTACAGCCTAACTAAAAATTGAAATGTTTAAAGTATACCACAGAAAATTGGCAGCTAAGTTCTAAGTGTGTAAGTTCATACAAATTAAATTACATATGCAGTTGAAGAATGCATAATTAAATAAGATGAATGCAGAAAATTGATTGAGATAAGATATATGTGGACAAATAGGATAATGAGGGAAACTGATTGCTGATATTAAATAGACAAAACTAGAAAAATGTTGGGGTTGTATTTGCATTATAATTAAGATAAGCAAATTGTGTTTTGTAGGTGGGTAATATGATATTTAACTGGATCTTAAATGATAAGGGAAGAAAGTTTAAAGGACCACTCTAGGCACCCAGACCACTTCAGCTTAGTGAAGTGGTCTGGGTGCCAGGTCCAGCCAGGATTAACCCATTCTTTTATTAAAAAAAAGCAGTTTTAGAGAAACTGCTATGTTTATGAATGGGTTAAGCCTTCCCCCAAAGCCTCTAGCGGCTGTCAATGATGATTTTCACAGTGAGAGCATGCCAGCGTCCATAGGAAAACATTGTGAATGCTTTCCTATGCGACCGGCTGAATGCGCGCGCATTCAGCCGACGGGGAGGAGAGGAGGCGGATCGGAGGAGGAGAGCTCCCCGCCCAGTGCTGGAAAAAGGTAAGTGGGGGCACCCTCAGGGCACTATAGTGCCAGGAAAACGAGTATGTTTTCCTGGCACTATAGTGGTCCTTTAACGTTTTCAAATAAAATGAAGAACATATCCAGCCAGTAGAATTCATGATGGAATGTAAGACACCAGTCTAGGTATGTATAACTTAAAATAGCCATTGCTCTGGAATTTTGGAAAACTGTAGAGTATCATGAAAAAGTTGGATTAGAATCTGGATATGGATCATTATCTGCTGTGTGGTCAACAGCCAGATGTAATTTAGCAATGGACTAATATCTTATATTTTATCAAGACTAAATCAGCAATAAGGTCTCATTAAACACTAGTCCAGTGTGAATATCTTCTAGATTGTCAGCAAAATGCCATTTAGAGGATCTCTCTAAAGCTGAGTTATTTTCTGCAGGTGTTATAATAATCTAGTCATGCAGAACCCATTCCACAGTCAAATGAAGAAAATACAATGTCTCACTACCCAAATTGTACAATGAGTCCAGAGTGATCAATCAAAGCATGTGTGGCCAGGTAAGAGGAACGTTGATTTAGTTTAGAACACCTACAGGAATGGGTTTTATATTTAGTATGTTTTCCTTATGGAATAAGCCAGTAAGTGGAATTATGATAAGGCCTAACAAATGTTTAGAAGAGCTATGTCTAAAAAGAGCTATATTTAGAAGAGCTATTTCTTCATTAAAAATAATATTCAGTTTTTTAAATGAAGTGGAGTTTGTGGCATTGTAGAGAGTGATTTTTCAGTCTGATTAATGTAGAATTTCTCATCTCATGGTTTAGAAATTACATTTTCTTATCTCCTGCTCTGTTAATATTCTCATAGAACCTGCAGGAGCTTGTGTGATTACAGTTTAATTTACAGATATAGGAGATATAAATGTCTAAAGTAAGTTGAGATATGTTTTAAAATGAAACAAGTATTTCATCCAGGCTGTGTATGCAGCCTATGGGAGGTGTGGCTAGGTCTGCATGGACAGAAACAAAAAAACAATAAGTTCAAGGGCAAGTTCTTTTTGAATGAAAATAACATCTGAGATAATTCTTAATTTGCTTTATTTTTTTTCTAGAGCAGGGGTAGGTAACCTTCGGCACACAAGATGTTGTAGACTACATCTCCCTGATGCTTTTCCAGCATTATGATTGCAAGAGAAAAGATTGCCTACTCCTGTTCTAGGGTAAGTAGTACTCTTGTACATTTACTTACAGTATGTTTGGCTTATTACAAATAAAAGAAAATGAGATCATAAATTAAATGGTTGGATTACAATATTATAGTATAAAAGGTTTTTGCAACTTTCAGAAAAGTTCAGTTTATTAGGACAGCATTTTGGATACCTCTACGTACCCTTTGTAGAAACATATTTTCAGATTCCATTAAGTTCTTGTCCATCAGATTTTCATACTGGTCTCGAATCTTAGACAAAGCGCTGTTCAAATCCATGGACGGCGCCGCATTGAGCTCCACATTCACCCTGGCACCCAGCTGAGAACGAAGACTGCTGGCTTCCTACAAAGGAATGATGATAAATAGTAAAAAGTTCACCAGCCAACATCATCTCATAAATACATGCCTAAAAAATGCTGACATTGACAAACAATTGACAGTTAATATGCTTCACAAAAATAATTTAGAAATCCTGTCATCTACCTCCTCATTATTCACTTTCATTTGCTGTAGTTCTTCTTGAAGGTTGTGGACCTCTCTGTCCAGGTCACATCTCTCTCGGTTCAGTCCTTCCAAAAATCTTTGCAAACTCTTTACATCTGTCATAGTGCTATTACTTAATTGAAGCTCCATTTCATACCTAAAGATAGAGAATAGGTATACAGATAAGTTAATTTAAATTGAGGTACATTTAGAATTGATCATATCAAATAAAGGTAGTCTGCACTGAAATGTAGCAAATAACAAAGATCGACCATTCTAACCCCTCCTATTCTACGAATAATTTACCTTTACTTACTGCGTTTTTGCAACTTTTATTCCCTTCTTCTTCTATATCTTTACTAGAATTCACAGGGTATCTCACTAATGTGAGAAAGTGTGTTCAAAGTGAATTTAAAATTTAAGACCAAAGTAGCCAAAATCAAACCATATGTGACTTGGAATTCACTTTGAACCCTGTGTATCTTCTCCTCCGCCACTAACATTCTCTAATACAGTGGTTCCCAACACAGTCCTTAAGTATCCCATACCAGTCCAGGATTTAGGTATTACCCTGTTGCATCTTAAGTGTTTTTTTTTCTATAAACACTGTAGACACAACTCGGTAATCCCTAAATCCAGGACTGGTAGAGGGTACCTGAGGACTAGTTTGGACAGTTGTTTTGAGATTATGCATATTAAAGTCATCTATATAGGATGGACCAAAATATCTACCTCTGAACTGTGCTTGAATTTCAGTGGTTTTTACATCAAGTTACGCACACAAAAGAATCTGGGTCATAAACTAACACAGAACCAGACAAAAAATAAAATAAAATTAGCATTGCAATTGTACAAAATATGAAAAAAATATGTTCTTCTATCTGGATATGATGAGATACAAATACATTAAAACATACGTCAAAAACCTATTGCATCTCTTATATGAAAGACTTACTTGTTCTTTAAGTCATCAGAGGCAAGCCTTGCATTGTCTATTTGTAGGATGATCCTGTTTTTTTCCATGGCGGTTAAAGAAACCTGTACAATAAATTTTACTGTAAGACTGACCACAACATATTTTTGAAAGAGACTTCACATTTTGCATTTTTTTGACAGTCTCTCAGCAAATGCACTGCTTAATATATTTTTGAATGCAAGCATCTCATTTTTGTTCCTAAAACTTCAACTGTGAATATTTGCTGAGAATTCAATAACGTATGATTTCTATTAAACTTTTATTAAGCTTTTATCCCAGGGTGTAATTGCCCTAGTCAGCATCCCAAGTTATATAGTTAATCTTAAGTAATACAATTCACAGTTCTTGTTTTTGTACAGTTCTTGTTTTTTTTTGTTTTGTCTTTAGATAAACTAAAAAACCTCATAATCCTGCGTTAACTTTAATCCTATAGAGACTATTCTTCATACCTCTAATTGTCACACAAAGCCCAAATTACCTGATGTCTTACGTGTCTTTTTTAGACAGAGTATTCTGAGATAATTAATTTATATTGATATGCTGCTTATCATTAGGTGTTTTACCTGGGTCTGGAGATCTGTAATCATCTTGAAGTATCTGCTAGAATCAGGGAATTTGCTGGGTGTATTATTTTCATACCATTCACTGATTTTCCTTTCCAACTGTGTGTTCTCCTTTTCCAGTGAGTTTACTTTCTCCAGATAAGAAGAAAGTCGATCATTTAAAATTGTCATGGTTTCTTTTTCATTTATATTTAACAGTCCGCTATTCTTCCAATTACTGTGGTCTCCAAAGCTGCCAAAATGAGAACTGCGACTATGTCTGATATGCATGCTTCCATGACTGATGGACGTTCGTTTAGAAAAAGAAACTCCTTTATAGCCTGATTTTCCATGTAGACCTATGTTGTTGTTTCCATGATGGGACTTGCTAGCAGCTCCATGACAAATCGTAGTAGAGCTTTTTTGATGAGATGTATTGGGTCCTTCATGACTGGTATTATGAGAGCTTCCAAACATTGACATATGGGAACCTCTATTTTGGGATAAATTGGAGACTTCATGGTTGCTCTTGCTAAAGACACATGAAGCTCCTGTAGGTGCCTTCTGAAATCCCCCATGGAGTGAGAAACTGAATCCTTTAAGAGATGATGAGGAGTAGCTACTTGAATTCTTCAGATGTTGATTACCTACTTGACATCTACGTTTGAGTGACGCAACTGCAGAGTACTTTTGCATTTTGATAGGCTTCATGATGAATGTAGACCAAAATTTAGATCACAGAAGCTCTAAAAATGTATGAATGTCAAATGTTTTCCTAACCAGAAGCATCCTTTTATATTGAGGGTAGGAGGCGTTGTTTAAAACCTAGAAATGTTCACGTGCATTTGCTTGGGTTTCTTATAAAAAGTGTGGGCATGTGATTGATTGATCATTCTTAATTTTTTTTTTAGTTTAACTGTTGGTTTCTGCTTCTGGTATATGAGAAAATAAATGGTGCAGTAAGGTGGGGAACGCAATTGCAGATTTATTGTCATCATAAGACTTCATCAGAAATGAGCATTTTTTCCACACCCTGACTATAACATGAACTACTGTTTCTTTCAAGATCAAACAGGTGTTAAATCCAGACTAGCTTTACTGTATGTCAGTATTACAATTTTTATCTGTTGTGACAGTGGTTCAATGTGCATATTGCTTCATATTGTGGATCCAGACTTCTATGGAACATTCTTAACACACACATCTGTACGGAGATGCTGCAACATCCCTGCAGTGAAGAATGTTTCTTGCACAAGCTTGAAGTAATTTTGATTAAAACCAATTAAACAAAAAAATGAAAGAGAAGCAAAACCAATTAAACAAATAAAATTAAAGAGTAACACCAACAGTAACGCATTCTCATCTCATCATTTTTATTTCTTCACTTCCATCAACAGACATGCAGCTAGAAACTTAGATGATGAACATAGACTTACTGTAGCTTAAGTATGGGTAGTGGCTCTTTGTAAGCAGTACCTTATAGTGGAGAGCCTGGGGCAAGTGGAGAAGCTGATCATTATATTAACTAAACACAAATATAGCACAAATATAATATCTGTCAGGGTGATTCACTAGAGTGAGAATAATTCAAAGTGAATACAATGTGAATTTGAAATTTAAGGTCAAAAAAGCCAAACTGGAAAAGTTATTTAAGTTAGCATTGCTTTCACTTCAGCTACTCTGGCCTTAAATGTGAAACTCGCTTTAAATTCTCATGTTAATAACTGTATGTGTGTGAAAAATGGTTGACTTTAGTCCCTTAAAAGCCACATTAATTTTATATCATACTTCCTTTTACTCCTCATGAGACTGATCACTGTGCCCCTCTAGTCCTGTACTTGGTATGTTTAACCCCTTCAGGACCGCTGACGGTTCAGGACCGTCAGCGGTAAAACGTGCGTTTGGACCGCTGACAGTCCTGAACCGTCATAGCGAAAAACGAGCTGCGGGAAGTGATCAAAGATCGCTCCCGCCAGTATAACACTGCCAAACATCCCAGGCAGATAGTAACAGCCAATTTCAGCTTGTGAGATCCACGATCGCTCACAATTGGTTGCTGTCAAAGTGGGTGTTATAAACGCTCACAATTGGCTGCTGTCAAAGTGGGTGTTATAAACACTCACTTTGACAGTGATCTCTGCCCCTCTCCCCTCTGTAGCGTTTTGTGAGGCGAGAGAGACAGAGATTGTGATAGTTTGTTGCAGCAGAAGTGTTCCAGAGCTTTATACAGTATCTAAAGTGAATAAAAAATCCCTTTTAACGCCTTCCCTGCCAGATCTGTTACAGTAGTGCATTTGTACTGTCTGTATTTTTTTTGCCCTTAAAGGGTTAAATTTGCTTTAAAAATCTGTGTCTTGGTCTGTCTTGGTCTGTCTTGGTCTGTTTTGGTCTGTTTTGGTCTGTCTTGGTCTGTCTTAGTCAGTCAGTTTCCTTCCCCCAAATTTCCATTAGATTTTTGTGACAGGAGTTAGTTTAGAGATTGCTGTTTAGTCTGTTTTAGTAAAAGAAAAAAGAAAATAAAAGTATAAAAATAAATTTGTGTGTTTGTAATTTGTTTTAGTCGTGTGTAAAAAATGCAGTGTATGTATAACTTGCAGGAGGCATGTGCCTTCTTGGCATCAGACTCTGAAGCCACTGACACTGCATCAGATTTTGACCCAGGTCAGTTTTCTGACACGTCTAGTCATGACGACATGTCATCTGTGTGTGAGCCGGCTGAAGAAAGAAGCTGTGCTTCCTCTGCTACGCCGAATGTGGAGGAGGACTGGGTACCTCCACAATTAGCCGAGCCCAACGTCCCCCCTTTCAGTGCCAACACAGGCATTAATGTTAATGTGGATGGCTTCTCCCCAATGCAGTATGTAGAACTATTTTTAGGGGATACCATCTGGGAGGTGATTGCTTCCCAGACTAACTTGTATGGTACCCAATTTATTGATAACAATCCAGGTAGCTATACAATCAGGGAGCATGACTGGCATCCCACAGATGTCCCAGAGCTTAAAAAATTCTGGGTTCTTACAATGCTCATGAGGATTATAAAGAAGCCATCAATTCGCTCATACTGGAGCACAAACCCAATAATGTCTAGTCCAGTATTCTCCCAAACCATGCCTAGAGCCAGATACGAGTTACTGCTGAGATTTTTACATTTCAGTGACAATACCCTCAGTCACCCTAGAGATTACCCCCAATACGATAGGCTTTATAAAATAAGCCCACTGCTAGACCATTTTCAGGACAAATCTTCGGATGTTTATACTCCCCAATAAAATTTATCCATAGATGAATCTCTAATGAAATACAAAGGGAGATTAGGGTTCAGACAATACATCCCCTAAAAAGCGCTCTAGGTATGGCATAAAACTGTACAAACTGTGCGAGAGCGAAAGTGGATACACGTTTGCCTTTCGTGTATATGAGGGGAAAGATGGTCATCTGCACCCTCCTGGCTGTCCTGACTCCCTGGGGACAAGTGGGAAACTTGTATGGGACCTACTAAACCCCTTGTTTAATAAAGGTTACCACCTTTATGTGGATAATTTTTATAGTAGTCTCCATCTATTTAAAACACTTTGTGGTTTACAGACACTGGCCTGCGGCAATGCCAGAAAAAATTCCAAAGACTTTCCACGATCTCTCATAGAGGCAAAATTAAAAAAAGGCGAATGTAAAGCACTTCGCAAAGCTGAAGTGCTTGCACTAAAATTTAGGGACAGGAAGGATGTCAACATGCTAACCACCATCCATGACGAACGCATGCCAGACGTCTCTGTCCGGGGCAGAGTAGAGTCCAAACCGGTTTGCATCAGGGCGTATAATAAGTACATGGGGGGTGTTGATTTGGCTGATCAGCTGTTGCAGCCATATCTTATTTTACGAAAAACCAAAGCATGGCATAAAAAGGTGGCTATTTATATGATGCAAATAGCAACCCACAACTAATTTTTGCTTTTTTTAAAAAAATAATCCAGGGAAAAACCCCTTTCTCCAATTTCAGTTGAAAATAATTTCTTTAACAATTTATGGAGATGGACAAGTTCCAACAACGGTGCAAGCTGAGTCCAGACATTTTATTTTTAAGTTACCGCCAACTGCTAGAAAAAAAAAAAACCAGAAACGTTGCCGGGTCTGTTTTAAAAACAGGAACAGGACAGACACCCCTTTTCAGTGTCCTGATTGCCCTTCGAAACCAGGACTGTGTGTAGGAACATGTTTCAAGCAGTACCACACAGAATAGTTGTAAGAAGTGTTCCTGAATTTTTATTTTATTTTTTGTTTCTTTGGAAAGCAGCCATTTTTTGTTAGTCAGTTTCCTTCCCCCAAATCTCCAGTTAGATTCTATTTGCAGGAGTCAGTTTAAAGATTGCTGCTAAATGTACATTTGCTACCTGCACATTTGGTCTAACAAGTTTTCTAGCAGTAACATATAACCAGCTGGCCAAAACCAGATGACGTGTGCATTAAAACCAGAATTAAAAAATTACCACTAAACTTTCTTTGGGGAGCAAAATGGTTGGGGGAAAGAAGTCAAAACACCCCATCTTCTATAACCTTTGATGTCTACTTTATAAAAATATATACTATATATACTGTCATGATGGTAACATTAACTGGGGGGTGCAAAAATATGTCAAACTGAAGATAGACCAAGCATACCTATATTTCAAGTTGAAAAACTGACATGTACAAGTTCTGATTGGTAACTTTTGGCCCATAAACAACCCAGCAACCCTATACATGGGGGGTATCACTGTACTTGGGAGATGTTGCTGAACACATATTGGGGTGTTGTTTGGCAGTGACACATAACAGGATCTGTTAATTCATGCCTAAAGTACAATATGTGTGACAAAGAAACAAAAAAAGTTTACTACCGAAAAGTTTGACAAAGGCTGGTGGTAGAATTCAGTGCATGAAAAGTGTTAAAATACCACCATTTAAAATACCCTGGGTTGTCTACTTTTAAAAAAATATATGGTTTGATGGGGGTAAAATACATTGGCTCAAATGGGACATGGGCGCAGGTTGATTACATGTCAAAATTCCAAGTTGGGAAACTGATAAGCGCACCTGTCAAACGTGGCCTTATAGCCCCCAAAGAACCCAACAAGCCTATACATGGGTGGTATCACTGTATTCATGAGATCTTGCTGAACACATATTGGGGTGTTGTTTGGCAGTGATACATAACAGGATCTGTTAATTCATGCCTAAAATACAATGTGTGTGAAAAAAACAGAAATAAAATTACTAACTCAATATTTGACAAAGCCTGGTGGTAGAATTAGTGCATGGAAAGTGTTAAAATACCACCATGTGAAATACCCTAGGGTGTCTACTTTTCAAAAATATATGGTTTGATAGGGGTAAAATACAGTGGCCGCTTCAAAAATGTCCCAAATAGGACATGCATGCAGGTTGACTACATGTAAAAATTCCAAGCTGGGAAACTGATATGCGCACCTGCAAAATGTGGCCTTTTAGCCCCCCAACAACCCGACACACTTATACATGGGGGGTATCCCTGTACTCGGGAGATGTTGCTGAGCACATATAGGGGTGTTGTTTGGTAGTGACACCTAACAGAATCTCTGAATTTATACCAGAATTGCAATGTATGTGAAATAAATAAAAAAAATAAACTACCTACCCAAAGTTTGGCAAAGGTTTGTGACAAAATGGCTGCATAGAAACTATCAAAATATTCTTAGATGAATACCCTGGGTTATCAAGTTTAAGAAAAATATATACATGTGGGGTGTTTTTTGGAGATTTATGACATAAAAGTGTTACAATGTCACTATTGATACATTTGAAAAATGTACATTTTGAAACAGCAATTTCCTACTTGTACTTATAGCCCTATAACTTGCAAATAAAAGCAAAAAAAACATATACATTGGGTGTTTTTAAACTCAGGACAACATTTTGAATCTATTTAGCAGTTTGTTTCATTCGATTTTGTAGATCAGTAAAAGATGTTTTAAGTAAAAGTCAAAAAAACGTGTTTTTTAAATTTTTCACCATATTTTATTATTATTTTTTAAATTAAATTATATGACATGATAAAAATAATAGTATGTAACGAAAGCCCCTTTTGTCCTGAAAAAAAACAATATATAATTTGTATCGGAACAGTAAATGAGAGAGCGGAAAATTACAGCTAAACACAAACACCACAAAAGTGTTAAAATAGCTCTGGTCCTTAACGCACAAACATCGCAAAAACAGTCCGGTCCTGAAGGGGTTAAATCCAATCCATCCTGTTTTTGAGACCCAGGAAAAAATACACCAAATAGCATTTACATAGCCCACCAGAGGTATTAATTAGACTGAATAGTGGAATCTCCCGGAATCTCCCAGAATCAAACACAGGTCCCTTTTACAATGAAACAATGTCCATCTTGTTTTTCTTGTTGTTTCCTGTTAGTAAATCCAGTAGAACATAAAGTCAATACAATTTTATACCTATAAGTTCCAGCAAGTTGACTTCACTGGTTATGCCTTCTTATATCTCAATAAAGTTTTTGAAAAAACAAAACAACTACTCTAAAGTATAACCTTTTAATACAAAATGCATGGGCTAGTTTAAGAATGTTAGTAAAATTCTGATCTGCAATTGTAGAAAAGGTATTTCTTCTTATAATATATATGATATATTTATGTATTTAGCTATTCTTTCTTCTTCTTGTTGGGTGGCTCACCTTGATGTTATTATACATATGTATTATATTCTGTGTGTTAGTTAGAAATATCAATATGCATCACAATTACCGGTATGTTTTCTTTCGGTTTATTCTTCTTACAATTACTAATATATAATAAAACAGCAAAGGATGTTACATAATGATGGTAGTTGTTGGACTCAGGAAGAGAGAGATGGATGGAGTCTTTGTTTTTTGGGGGTTTTTTTTAACGTTCTAAACCTACCCCCAAACACTCCACTTATATAAATAAAATATGTAACACATTTTTTCTTTGTGTAGTTACACCACTCAAATAAGAACATCCATATGATTCTGATTGGTTCAGACCCACATTCTAGAATTTTCAGACAAAGACAGCCATGTGACTTATTGATACCATGGGTTACTTATGCCCAATCCAAAAACACATAACAGTATATGCAAAATTCTATAGCAAGTAAGACAACTCACCTGGTGTATATTTAATAAATAAGTGTAAATAAGATAAAATATACTTTAGATTATAACTTAGCTGTGATGGACCCTGCTGCTGATTATTTAACAAAACTTTTATAACTAATTACATTCTAGTAATGTTTTTCAAATCAGTAAAATCTATGGTTGACATACAGAAAATTGCCCCTACAATTGTTTAATTTTTAAGAAATTTCACCTGCGCAGACTCATTTCACTTTATGTGATCACTTTATGTGATCAATCCTTCCTAGTTATTTTCACCCTCATAAAATTTCCATTCCCACACTACTTCACATACATGCCTTGTTAACTTAGACTGAAACAGATACTCTAAGTAAAACATCTTATATTTCTTATAGGAAAGTAATTCTGTGTGTGCTCCAATTGGAAGATAACCATTATTTTTCAAATCCAAAAACCCGAGAGAACATTTTTACGAAAAACGTAACACCTGATGAGTAAAAACTAAAAATTGCAATCTGTACATCTATTGGTAAAGTAAAGTTCGGAAGATCGCTAGTGAGCCCACTTGTCCATAACCCCACCAATGCCAATTTGCAGAAATAGTGGAATGGAAAATAACAATGCATGCTGAATCCACAGTTTAAAATATGCAGAAGTTCTTCTTCGCTTGTTGGAGGACAATTTAGATACTGCTATCCTTCATTTGTCAGGCAGTAACAAGTATTTAGTCAATTTGATGTCAAGTAACACCTTGATATTTGGGTTGCTTTTTTTCTTTTAAGAAGGAGATTTTATTCATGCAATTCAAGAATAGTCTCAAAAACACATAGTCCCGATTGCCCTGGTTGTTTATAGCATCTCAAAAATAAACACAATCTGCTGTCCAGTAATCTACAAGTTCATCAAGAAGTAGTTTGTAAGTTGAAATTTCCTTTTCTAGATGGGTCTTTTGATCCATGAGGAGTTTTACGTTTTTGTTCAAATTCTCAAGACGTGACCGGACGTATTCTAACTGACTTTCAATGTCATCAATAAAACTCTGCAACTGAGATAGCTTAGATCCAAATGTTTCTTCTATTTCTGCCAGAGTTCCCTCCAGGGCTGATGTCTACAATAAAAAAAACATGAGGTTAAGTAATCACTATATATTAAATAGTGGAAACTTTGTATTTCGCTTTAATGCATGTAGAACATCATCAGCTGTAATATACTTAAAAACCACCACCCACAGTGCCGTAATACCACTATGTTTCTCTACATACCCTTATATATTCCTTAGATTCTACTCCAAGGTTTCTTCTACTTGCTTGGAGTTCCAAGTGGACCAGTGAAGGATTCACTGGTGTCACAGTGCCGATGAAGCGCGATCAAGTGGCCGCGCCCTATCGGCACAGCAAGTTAGTACAAGCCCTTCTGTTACACTTGCCTTGCAGCACCTCCAGTCTGCTCTCCAAGCAGCTCTTGGAGGATATGGTGTTCGGATAGATGCTGCAAAATTGCCCAATGAAATATAATGCCAACAATGGAATTTTGGAGACAGCATAATCCACAAGATAAAAGATCAAGTGCTTTACATCTGTTTCCAGACCCGCTTTATGGCATTATTGGAGTAATATCAAGCCAACAGTGAAATTATTTTGAACATATATCTGGTGCAGCTGAATTGTATTAACCCAGAGTCTAAGTGCAGAAGAATCTTGGAATTCTTTTTGGATTATATCCTACGACTGAGGTAATAATTATATCATTTCAAATGTGAACCCTGCTAATGTCACTAGTGTAACATATCTATATAGATATTCAGTAGAAACACTGCCAAGGCTATTGTAGTTGTATCTTAAATCTGTAGGTTAGTGGTAGAGCATAAACAGTTATAGTTCTTGAGTGTTTATAGCACCATAATTTTTTAGGTTCCTTGGATCTATAATTCACAGTGCAATTTTGGCATTTTCATACAACTACACTTTTTATGGGTATTCTGAGAGTCAACATGTTTGTCTTTTAGTGATAATGCTGCCTAATTTAAGATAAATTCCACCTGTTTTGGTAAATATCATCCCGATTTTACTAACATCCTGTTTAATCCCATGTGTGTCCCATGACAATCTACACATGCTCCACCATCAAAGTACAGTAAGCAGTGGAGTAAGATAACTTCCTACTTTATGATGTTTATACATGTGGTTGTTTGTAACGTATTGTGTTTAGCCATTGTGGTGAGTCACTAGTATAAAATATAGCTGCCTTCTCTGATATAGGTGCTATTGTGCCTCAATTTTACTGTATTTTCTTTTAAATAAATCAATGCACATACACATAAAAAGCCTTACGCCATATTTTTTCATCTGCAAAACCTTTGAAACATACCACATTCATTTGACTTTCCAACTCTATCTCTAGAGTCTGCACAGCGAGTTTCAGTCCAATAAACTCATTATCAACTTTCTCCAACTGGTCAGGTCCAGAAGATATGTTATGGTCCAGCTCTGCAGCCTGAAAGGAGAATATATTTAATATGAAGATAGAATTCTAGTTAAACATTTTCTCTGCTTACCACTAAGATTTGTGAAAAGATTGGTATTTTTGGGGCAAATACTGATTATTCCTATGTATATCAAACGTTTAAAGGGTTATTCTATGCAAAACCAGTATTGTTTACCACTGTTTTGATTGCACTCTTGATTTTTTTTTAAAGCTTATTCTTGGGTACATCATTTAAGAAAAAAATGTCCTTTTCTACCCAAATAAAACAGGAAAAAGTCCTTTGCATTAAAGATATTAACCCCTTCAGGAAGGAGTCAATAGTACACGTTCTGATCAAAACAAAACTGGAATTTGCGCTATATGTCTGTTCAACCGTAATTCACCGCTATCACCTTAAGTGCACCCACACTTATTATATATCATTTTGTTCAGGAGAAACAGGGCTTTCATTTCATATCAAATATTTAGCTATGAAACATAATTTATTATGAATAAAATTTAAAAAACTGTGAGAAATTTTATTTTTTTTTAAAAAATTTTTTAGTTCCGCCTCACATTTTAGCTGTAAATGTCATAATACTGTTAGGTTTTACCGCAAAAAAATGCACATATTTGTAATCAGCGATGTCTCACGAGTACAACAGTACCCCCCATTAACAGGTTTTATGGTGTTTTGGAAAGTTACATGGTCAAATATAGAACATTACATTTTCAAATTGAAATTGCCAGATTAGTAATGTTACCTTTCAGACGGTGTGGTAGCCCAGGAATGAGAGTTACCCCCATAATGGCATACCATTTGAAAATGTAGACAAGCCAAGGTATTGAAAGTGGGGTATGTTAAGTCTTTTTTAGTAGCCACTTAGTCACAAACACTGGCCAAAGTTAGTGTTCATATTTATTTTTGTGTGAAAAAAGCAAAAAACTAATATTTGGCCAGTGTTTGTGACTAAGTGGCTTTGAGAGCGATCACAAGGCCCCCAGGGGCCTCATTTGCCGGGGGAGGGCTGCCTGGGCTGTCAGGAAGCCCTCCAGAAGAGGATTGCGGTGGAGGTAAGGAAGATCTCACCTCCCCTGGGCTTAAGCCGTTACGGCGTTCTATGCCGCCGCAACGGCTTTAAAGGCCTTTAAAGCCGCAACGGCATAGATCGCCGTAACGGCATTAAGGGGTTAAACTGTGCATTGCAAATTTTAGTAAGATGATTTAGTAAAGTAGCTGAGTTGGAAAATTTGTCCAGTCTAGCTTTTGTGGCCTAAATATCAAGATTCCATGACACCCATCAAATAACTTTGGTTTAGTGAGTAACTTATTTAGTGTTATGGTTTTGCTTTTCATATAATAAGTTGAGTATTGAGGTGTTGTTTCGAAAATAGAGATTAATTTTTGTAATGCTGTTATAAAACAGCAAAAATATTTTCTTTAGAATATCTTTAATCTTTAGAAAAAAAATACTTGACGTCTCATTGTTAGATTCAACAGAACTAAATATACATCATGTCAGTAATTTGTACTTAGCAATATGTTTGTATACCCACCACTTGCTCCTGTTTCTTGGAGATTTGCTTGGGGTGTGTATATGTCTATTTGTCTGTCTGCCTGTCTGTCTGTCTGTCTCTCTGTCTATCTATCTATCTATCTATCTATCTATCTATCTATCTCTCTGTCTGTCTCTCTCTGTCCGTCTGTATGCCTGTCTGTTTATTTGTTTGGGTATCTATCTTAATTGCATTGTCTCTTAGATTTTTTTTGTGTTCTCATACACCACAAGATATTCCACTATCATTTATATTTTAGTTATTCCTTCATTGTGAGTGTATAGTCTCTTTTTTAACATGCAAACATGATCAAAAAAATATAAAATGTTATTACCATTTGCAGGAACAAGTCCTCCGTCTCCTTAATGTTCTTCTCCATCAGGTTTTCATATTCCTCTCTGAGCTCAGTTAAAGCCCTGTTGAGATCGATGGATGGAACAGCATTCACATCTACATTGACTCTTGTCCCAAGCTGAGCACGTATTTCTTTCAATTCCTTAAAATTTTCAAAAAGCAGGCAAAATGATAAAATACATAAGTGAATTCTCATATGTGTGTCATACAAATTATCCACCATTCCTGTTTCCAGCTCTTCATACAATTTTAGCAGGCATTTTTTTGAAGACCTAAATAAGGAACTTACTAAGTGTTGTTCTACATGCAGAATATTGGGATATCTTTTCACTTTGTGTTTCTAACACTTTTTTTTCTTGTTATTCAAGTAAGGAAGGACTTAGGGAATCGTGATCTTAACATGGGTTATTTACACTAAACTCTGGCGTTTCTAATGACGTTTGAATATAGAGTACCATAGGGTTTAGACACTGGCCTGGTGGATATAAATCCCTATGGAGCAGCGTTGATCAATTTTGTAGTTGAAAGAAGTCATTTGATGTCATGTTTGTTGTGTTCATACTGGGAGATCTCACATTAATTATGTTATGAATGCCCTACATTGACATCTATTGTGAAAGTACACGTACAGATTTTTGCTGTTCAAGTCATATGATCTTTATCAGATCAGAGAGTATGAGCAAGGAGTCAACAGACTCCTGCCCTATAAATGTTCACTTACTTGCTTTTCAAGTTATCCTATCACTCCACAGAATGGCCCACCTTATTAAGAAGTAGTGAGAACTGGCCGTCTTCTGCTCCATAAACCAGTGCTCACACCCCAATGATAATAGGTTGATAGGCTAAGAAGGGGCTGAAGCTCACTCCTGGAATTTATTAACTCACTGGAATGGAGCATGAGAAATCTGTGTACCCTGTGATGAATATTAGTCATCATGCCGCCTTTATGAAATGAGAGAAACCATTTATTAGATCTTCCCTGGTTAGTAGTTGGTCAGGAGAACCCCCACATGCATCTTTCTTTTCCAACCTCTCCATGTGGGATAGAAGGCAGCTGCCAGTATTTTTTTCCTTACATGAAAGCAGGATAATCTGACTTAAGTCATCCAGGCAAGCTTGGTTTCAGCGGTCTGGTACAAGTCAATGTAAAAAGCCACTTGTAATACATGTAGTCAGATATTTTCTTATAATGTTACATTACCTGCTCGTGAGTGTTCTTCAGGTTGGTAAGTTCTCCATTGAGACATTGTAGTTGTTTCTCTAAATCTTGCCTCTCTTGGTTGATCTGTTCCAAAACACGTTGAAGGACACCAACATCTTTTTCAGCATCACTCGTTAACTTTAGCTCCATCTCAATCCTGGGGTGACAGATATGACATGTACAGGAAATGGAAGTAGCATGCTATTGACTGGATAATATAACAAACAGTTAAATATTGAAATAGCAAATTAATAAATAATGTTATTCCTGATGAGTTTGTTTTAACATGTGATCAAACTTAAGATGCACAAACAATTGTTATAGGTTTAGCTTAGACTGATTTTGTACTAGGAATTAGCTGTTATTTCCTGCCTTAGTGATTGTACTCAAACAGTTTTATTGTATATGTAACATGTTTTTTTTCTTTCACATATATAAAGTAAAAATACTTACTTGCTTTTTAAGTCATCTGCAGTAAGTTGAGCATTTCCTGCCTTTAGCACAATTCTTGCATTTTCCATAGTGGCTAAGGAGACCTTTAAAATACACACAAAAATTTCTATATTTAAACAACGTTAATTTAAAAGAAGGAGTGAGTGGATGTGATGATGGATGAAAAGGTGTCCAAGGAAGGTCCACTTGAAGAAAAATATGAAGATGTTTACTTAGTAGGGGCTTTGTAGGTTATGGTTAGAAGTTTGTATTTTGTTTTTGAACTGGTAATTTGCAATTTGAGGGTATTGTAAAGTGGGTACATGGGTAATGATTGGTAGGCTGGGAAAATTAGTCTAGCTAAGGTTTTCAATATGGTTTGGAGAGCGTATTAGTGTAAACCGTTAGACATCTTGCGATAAAGTTTCAGTAGCCCAGGTTGTACATTACCGATGGATGCATTGTTGCATGGTTGTACAAGTTCAAAAAACAGACTGATTCTTAAGATGATCAAAATACTATGTATAGGGTAAAAGGTAGATGCTTGCATTTATGGAGAGATTTTGCTATGGTATTGACTGTGAGAGAGGTTTCAGATACAAGAAGAAAAAAGATTCTGAAAAAAGGGGAACATTGGAAATTACTTATAGCTCATGTTAACATTTTTCTCCATTTTCTTTTCCATTTGTATTAAATATTTGGCAAATTACATCATAATCTCCAGTTCTAACAACATAAAAGTCAGGACACACATTGCAAATGAGGTACAAAAAACACAGCTAATAACAATGATTGAGAGGGAGCTAGGATGGAGGAGAACAGTTGCAGGTTAAAGACACTTGGATTTCTACATTTGATTATCTTTTTCACACTTCACAAATCCACATGTTTTTTAAATATAAGGATCAATAAACATAATCCTGGGAAGTGGCAATTTCCCTTTAAATTACTGTGCCATCATTTTACAGATGATGCTAAAAACAACGAGAATCTATTAGGAAAGGATGTGTAGATGGAGAAGAGGAAGGTATAGAACAGGGGTCCTCAAACTCCGGCCCCCCAGATGTTGCTGAACTACAACTCCCATGATTCTCTGGCTATATATGTAATTCAAACAATCATGGGAGTTGTAGTTCAGCAACATCTGGGGGGCCAGAGTTTGAGGACTCCTGGTATAGAATAAAGCTTTGCCCCAACAGAGAAGTGCCCCAACATATGCTCAACAGAGATAATAAAGATGTTCTAGTTAAGAAGACATTTCAAATAGTAAACAAGTACTATTTAAAAGAAACTAAAAAAATATTCTGAGAGATATGATTTAACCCCATGAAAGAGCAATATAATAAATACCAGAGGATATAAGATTTTGCAGAAGAATTAGGTTTTGATAAAAAACAAAACATCAGCATGAGAAACATTAAATAGCCTTTAATTTGAGCTTTACTTTAGTAAATGCTAATGTAATAAGTTGTTGGTTGCAAAAGCCATGTAGCATATCGAAGAAGAACTATGGTCGCCAGAGCCACTACAGCTTAAGGTAGTTGTTCTGGTGTCTATATCATGTCCCTGCCAGCTCAGCAACATAAACACTGCCTTTTCAGATATAAAGTAACTAAAAAGCTTTTTTTAACCCTTGCGGGTGGCTCAATAATCAATATATATAATGCATAGGATGCTACAGTATCCCTTTATTTAGGAGAAAGTTGGATGGACAATTCTAGTCTTTAAAGAAGCATGTATGGTGTGGAAAACAAAAGATTACTTGGTAGAGAACTGGGAAAGTAGAGTCAAGAGAAGGTTTCTTTAGAATATGTGTTTTTGCATCTGTTGTCACTTGCCTTCTCACATTCCCTTCATTCTGTATGTTTGTAGAATGAAGTTAATTGTCCAGGGATCATTTGAAAGTTGTGCTAGCATGGAAATGTTGTAAGCTAAGTGAAGATGAGGAAAGAACACAGACTTCATTTAAAGAAGAGATGAGAAGAAGAGGAAGGAAGACTTAATCGTCTATGACTGGACAGAAACAGCTTTGTAAAGCTTTAATATATAGAGAAGGTAGCAATATTACCTTTTGTGTTTTGATCTTAGCTTTCATATAGTGGGCCTGACTTGTGGCTTATTTATTATAAGGTGGAATGTAAAGGTGAAGCGAGTGTTTGGAATTACTGAAACAGAGTTGAAAAGCAGAATTGCCTTGATTTTTATTTTACCTGATTCTGAAGCTCTCTAATGGTTTGCAAGAAGTGCCTCATATCAGGGGGTGATCTGGGAGGGTTGTTCACATGCCACTCCGCAATCTTTGTCTCTAGCTCTTCATTTTCTTGCTCTAAGGAATGGACCTTCTCCATGTATGCCTGAAGACGATTGTTCAAATCTTGCATGGTGTTCTTTGCATTGATCCCATTCAAGCTATTGTTTTTTCTGTCAGTGCGAACTCCATAGTATGTGTGTTGATACCAATGATCATCATATACACTTTCAGCTCCATTTGCACCATGAACAGAAGAAGGATAAGCAAAGGATACTTTTTTACTTCGTCCATGATCAATGCCACCTTTGTTTTGACCCCCTTGATGTGACATGCTGGATTTCATATGGAGGACTTTCTCAGAGTTAAGATGATGAAATGGAGGACAGTAACTTTTAGTATAATAACCATTAAAATAATACTCTCCGATGAGAGATCTGCTGGGCGAGTGTCTGACTTGGTAACTCATGTTGACCTCAGACCTTTGCCGTGATGAAAGTAGAAATTATCCTTCTGTTTGTCCAGAATGTGAAGAACAAAAAAAAGTCTTCCCAGCACTGACCTTTTATAAGAAATGTGTTTGATGGCATGAGGTCATTTTTCTGGGTACTTTGTAAGCATCAGATTCCTATTTATACTTTATTGGACCTGCCTTGTGGTAAGGGTCAGACATTAAATCCAGTTTATGGGACTGCTAAGCATACTCACAGTTAGACAAACTGTGTCATTGTCAATAGTACATCAAAGAGGCCCTTCTCCACACCCTGTATATGTAGTATAAATCACCACTTGTTAATGCTTTATGTACTATTTGTAACTAATATTATAAAAGATATAATAACATCACAGTGGTAGTTTATATACATGTTAAATTAACTGAAAAGTCATTATGCACTTCTTTATTATTTTAATTACTTTTTCCTGTTAAGGTTGGAAGCTTGGATTCTGAATGACTGTTGCTCATTGCATCATGCATAAAAGCTATTTTAACACTTTTTTAAAACCATCACTACCAATTTATTTTGGTATAAACAAATGATTCAAATGTATTTGACAGTTTAAGTATCATCTGGAGGTATTATTTTATATTGTATGGTATTATATAGGTTTATTTTACATATAAGTCTTAGAAAATAAGAAACATATAAGATAGAAGGGTAAGTTGGTGCTACAAATATCTCCATCCTGGCAATCAAGCCTAATGTATAGCACCTCTTGAAGTACAGTTACACTATAACAATACTTAACTTTCTCTCTTGATTGTTTCATTCCGAAGGAGCAATATGTTACAGATAGAGTGATACCTTTACAGGCATTGAAAGCCCTTATATCCATAGCTAGAAGTTAGGTACTCTTCACGGCTGTCCGACCTTCTATAACCTCCAATCCAGTATCAGGATTTTATTTAGTATACCGCAATGCGAAAACAAAGTGGCTTGATTCTCATTTTCCTACAGAGCAACACAATTACGAAATAACCTCACGGACACAATCAAATCTTCCTCCAGCCTAAAATCCTGTAAGAGATCTCTGTGAACATATGCCAGCAATAAATAGCCCAATACAGAATGCACCTGTAATCATGGTTGATTATATTTCTAACCTGTTCTGTGTTGATTTTATATATGTGTATTTTAACATTATTTTATAATTTTAATATTATAGTGTACCCTGTTGTAACAATGTAGTTTTTGTGGAATAAAATAAATACTTGAAAACAAGAGAAATCGGAATGTATCCTTCCTGTTAAAATATTTTTAAAATAAATAAAAGTTTTTGCACATTTGCACATATTGGTTTTTTTTCCTGTGCACCTGCCACAGAAGTTCTGCTCATTTGATTATGCTAATTCTCCGTGAGCTTAAAGAATTGTGCCTTGACATTTTTAATATCCACATGTCACCCCTGTTTCTTGAATTGTTCATTTTATCAGTTGAAAATAGATAATAAAAAGGAATATTTAAATTTTGTGTAAGTACATATTATTATGCTTAGGTATAAAAGGTGCACACAGTTTTCAATTCGTTTATACCTGTTAAAAAAGATTGTGTCTATATGTTGTGTATAAAAAAATAAAAGTGCTTATCAAAATTCTAGAGCTCAAGGATCAGTCTCAAACTACCAGCCTGCTGTCCATTTCACAAACGGTTTAACCCGAAGGTTGTCTCCAGTGGCGATTTCACCTCCCCCCAGACGGCATTTGGCATGGAGTTCCAGAAAGGAGCACTGCTGATTGGCTGAGAGCAGTCAGTGACTCCCCATCACAAAACTGTCTTGAAAAAGGTATGTGTTATGGGCAAATGTAAATATTACAAGTTGTAGAATGAAAAGTTGTATTTCTTAAACTGTGTACTTTGTCTTTAAGAGATTTTGCAAACTGACAAGTTCTGTATTTCATACAATGTTTCTTTAATAAATTACCTCTTACCCATATTCAGTGGATATGGTGTTCAGACTTTAGGATGCCATTAGGACGCCATTTTTTCCTATGTTAGTGTAATTTCCCAAGTCAGGGAAATTCCCATGTCATGTGCACCCTTACGTTTTAGTCTAAACAAAGATAAGATGATCCCATGTGAAATGACCAAGTTATGGCCTTGTATCTTTGCCAAGTTAAGGTAGGTCCTAAAATGACCTAATAGAACATCTAAGGTATAAATATGTGTACTTAATATTAGGACGCAGAGGATAGATTTTGGAGACAGGGAAGCTACTCCATTTTATCATGACTGAGAGAGAGGTTGACATGTTCAGGAGGGTATGTTATTCTATTTTACTGATATTGCAAGCATATACTTTAATCTTATAAACTCTGCTATAAATTATTGTAATGGATTATTAAGGTTTTATATGTCTATATTTATATTTTTATTTAATAAAATATTTAAAAGACAAAACGTTATTGCTTCCAAGAAAATCCCTATTTTATACTGAATTATCAATTCTTTATATATTTTAAATAGAGGAACTCTTACTAACTATATAATATTATGGCTAAGTATCTGTATGGTTAGCCCTGCTACATTCTATGCTTCAAGACATTATAGTGGTAAATAAAAAGTAGATTTTTCTCTTAGGGAGGTGGTAATTATGTTATGATTATGAAACGGTATCGGCGAGGTTAAAACCGAATTTTGAATACAATTTTCTTCATTTTTCTCCTAAGAGAAAAATCTACTTTTTCTCCTGCTCATTTTAAATCGGCTCCCCTTACTATGTTTGAAAAACTAGTTACAAAAGATTTAGAAAAAATCAAAAATAGCAAATATGACCCCCATAACCTTACACATTGAGAAAAACTGGCATTAAAAGAACTTAAAAACGATGAAAATATTGTCATTAAACCAGCAGATAAGGGCGGAGGGATAGCTATCCAATCAACCCAAATGTATATAGAGGAGGCACACAGACAACTAAATGATGCAAATGTATACGAAAAACTTTTATCAGACCCTATTAAACAAATACAAATCGTTTTAACTCAATTTTTAAATAAAGGTGTAAATTTAGGCATTTTAAATAAAGATGAGTTTAAATTTCTAAATAATCAATTTCCCATTACTCCTGTTATATACTTCCTCCCCAAAATTCATAAAAATGAAACTTCACCTCCTGGAAGACCAATCGTGTCTGGCATAGGTTCTCTCTTATGTAATCTCTCACAATATATAGACATCCTTTTACAGCCTTCAGTCAGACTCATGAGATCTTACCTCCAAGACTCCATGGCCCTTTTAAAAAATTTTATAATTTTATATGGAAACCTAGTTTTATATTAGTGACATGTGATGTCCAGTCACTATATACAATCATACCTCATGATATAGGCTGTCAAGCTGTAAAATATATTTTAACAAAAGAAGGTAAAATTGCTGGTCAACAAATTGATTTCATTTTAGAAGGTATTAATATTATTTTAAAAAATAATTATTTTTGGTTTTTAAACTCTTTTTATCTTCAAAAAAGAGGGACCGCTATGGGGACGAGGTTTGTTCCCAGCTATGCAAATTTATTTATGGCTGACTGGGAGTCAGAAGCCATTTTTAGTAATCATTTGTGGAGAGCAAACCTAGTTTCCTTTTTTAGATATATTGATGATCTTTTTTTTATCTGGGATGGTACTGAAGATGAACTCAATTCTTTTATCACAAATCTTAATATAAACAATAGAGGTATAATCCTGACGTATGAATACAGTAGAGAACAAATTAACTTTTTAGACTTTAACATTTTCATAACAAATGGAAAAATACACACTAAGACATTTTTAAAACGCTATGTGTAAATACTGCTATCGACAAAAGTAGCTGCCATTACCAACCTTGGTTGGATAGCGCCCCCAAAAGCCAAATACTTAGACTTAGGAGAAACTGTTCAGAAATAAGAGATTTCGAGATACAAGCGGATGTCCTAAAAGATAAATTTGTTGAGAAGAATTACTCTAAAATAGAACTAGAAAAAGACTATTAGGGACATCCAAAAAAAAGATAGAAACTAACTCCTAAAATACAAACCTAAAACCACAGACACAACAATGTCTTTACCGATTATTTTCAATTTTAACAATCAAAGTAACAATGTAAAAAAGGTTATAAGAAAACACTGGCACCTTCTAAAACAAAATGAAACATTAAATAAAATTATACCTGAACATCCGAATATTATATTCAGGGGAGCTCGAAATTTTAAGTCTATACTAACAAATAATTTTACAAGAGAAATTAAAAAGACCCCCCCGGTATCCTTTTTCCCACATATTAAAGGTTTTTGCAAATGCAAAATGTGCATAGTCTGTAGAACTACTAACTCTGATGTCCCCCACAAAGTAACCGAATTTGTATCAAATAGGACAAATAAGGTTTATAAAATAAATGATTTTATTAATTGCTCTACAAAAATGTTATATATCTGCTTGAATGCCCCTGTGGCCTCCAATATGTTGGAATGACCACAAGGTGTCTGAAAATGCACTTAAGCGAACACTGCAGAGACATTAAAAATGGATACCTAAATCACTCAGTATCCAAACATTTTATCATACACAATAAAGATCCAAAATGCTTAAATGTATTGGAATAATGAAATGTGTGGTTCCGTGGAGGGGCAGAAACATTAAAAATATTTTAGGCAAAAAAGAAATGGAGTGGGTCTACAAACTTCAAACTCTTGTACCAAATGGTTTAAATGTAGATTTCGATTTGTTTAATTTTTTATAATCTTTTATACTTTTTTATTCTGCACATAGCTGTCTCTGGATATTTTATTAATATTAGTCTGTTTTTTAATTTTTAATTTTTTGTTTTTATCCATCTTAATTTTATTCCCTTTATTTTATTCCATACTCTTTTCTTTTTATCTTCTTGCCATCATGCCTGATCACACTGTTTAGTGGATCAGGCATGATGTCTTCCAAGTTGGTTGCTGACTTGGTTTTAAAATCGTATCCATGACGACGGCTGCAGCTTTGTGCTAGCCGCCATCTTTCTTTCTATCCCCGCCCCTTTG